CTTTCACAGCTGCATTCCACCAAGACACTCCGGTCGGGGAAGTCTACAAAGAGTTCATCAGTGATGAACCAACCAGGACCTCGTCGTCAAGGAGGTGGAGGAGCTCCGAGGAGTTTCTGACAACTGCAGAGTTCGAAAGGCATGATCGAAGAATTGCGAAATTCAGAGATCGAAACTGGGGGAAGGTATTCACGTTGAGCGTGATCAAGGCTCCCAAGGTTGACTTCTACGGTCATGGCACAAGAGCCGACTACCAGAAGAATTGGGACCTTGGGCTGACCTACCAGAATGAGCTGCGCGCGTCGATGAAGAACCTGGCGTATGCAATGAGAAGAGATGAAAGAGCTCACCAGCACAACCTTTTGCGCTGGATGATCTGTGGGTCAACCCCCAGCGACATCTCTGACGCATGCGTCGGAGCAATCAACTCACTCATGTGCGTTTCCTTCATCATGAGGAGGTTGCAGCCATTGGTCGGGGAAAGGCATGCTACGGATCAGTCGTACACAGTTTACTTCCGTCAGGACAAGTCCGAGCTGAAGGACCTCTATCGGGAGATCGGGGTCGCCAGGAACTTTCTGTGGTGCATCGACATGATCTACGAATCAACGCTGCCTGCGATGAACATCAACTCCATCAGCTTGGCGCCGCACGCGGCAGACAGGGCCGCTGAGAACCAAGATCGGCGCAAGTGGGTAAGCTGGCTGAAGGAGATTGAAAAGAAGGCGGAGAAGGACAACGTGGTTGACTTCGACCAGAACACCTACTGCACCGTTAACGAAGCCGACAGGGAACTGGAGAGGTACCCCGAGGACTTCGCGATCGGAGAGGAGCCGACGTGGTGGGTAATGGGTTCATCGAAGACGGAACCGCCGCAGAAGACGGAGCGACAGCAGAAGTCAGCGTCGAGCTCCGGGCAAAGGAAACAAACCTCTGGTGGGCCAGTCCCCCAGCAGGGAGCTTCAAGTGGGGGGTCGTATGCAAGCGATGCCGTCAAGATCGACAACGAGATCATCGACTCCATATTCCGCATGAACTCCGGTGGTGATGATGACAGATGGACAATCATCAACCCAACTGCTGGGCTCGACACATACACCTCATTCGAAGGGGGTATTACTCTGAGTGGCGCAACTGTCAGCGTGAAGTTCAACATAGACGCCAACACAGGGTACCCAATCATACAAACTGTATTTGGGCCGTGTCTCGCAGATGGGAAGAACGCGACATATTGGGAGTGTATGCTGAGATGCCTGACTTCTTCGCTGGTACATTTCGAGGAGAAGACCAGCGCAGAGAAGATCATTCTTTCCTATGTTAGAAAAGGGAATGCGGCATGGCTGTATGCTTTCATGTGTGCCCAAACAGGATGCTTGATTACTGGACGCCTTCCGGGCGCCAAAGCCATCAATGCGTTGATACAGGCAGAGAAGAACCCAGACAACGCACCTGGACGGTTGACCCGGATCATCAAGGAGCAGAAAAGGGGCCCCATTGGTGGGGCAACGATTCGCGACATGATGATTCAGAAGAAGAGCTTCTTGGTCCTGGATTGGCCCCTGAGGGCTGTCAATGCAAAAGGGGGCACGAAAACCTTCCAGATGATGGTCAACGAACAGGGATGGACAAACATCGAGAGATCGTACTACGGTTCGAGTGAGCAAGTCTCCTCGTCCGCAGATACAATGAACATCATCTCCCGATTGCAGAAACTGGAGAAGCTCATCGTCGAACGACGGAGGCGAGACATGGATGACTCACCTGTGTCGGTGCACATTTGGATGTCGCTCTATGACTGGGTGTGCATGAGGGGGTGTGGGTGGCAGGTGACCGCCAACCCCATCATTGACTCCTTGCAAAAGACGATATCCGACCTCGTCAACACGTACAAGGGCTTGGTTGTGGTGTGCGTGAATCGCAACGTAGCTTTCCATGGAGGAAGAGGGGACTTGGGGACGATCGCCAACAAGGTGAGCGAGATCTGCAAGGCAGCAGGCGCGTCGGTGACCGAGAACGATCGCCTGTGGCGCGTTGCCCACGCGCTCACAGGTAAGAACTACAAGATCCCTGGAAGCTCGAATCTGCAACATTTCCTCTTGAAGCGATTGTTGGTGGAGAAATCCATCGACGTGATCGCGCCAAGCAACGCGTTCGTGTGTGAGCTGGAGGAGACATGCATAAGCGAGCCCGACCTTCGCTTCAATATCCCGAAGAACATGGAGGAGTCGAAGGTGAAACTCGAGTACAAGCCGACCTTCACTGCTCAATCGAAACGGAGGCAAGAACGGCAGGATGAAGGACACGGCGGACAAGATGCGTTTGGGAACATCGATGTCAGCGATCAACGTCTTCGATGGTATGCGGTCACCGAGCTCAGTGAGTTAATCTGCGAACTTTGTGTGAAAGAAATGCAGGTGAACAAGTCGAAGGTGCTCGGGTCAAACTCAAAATACAATCCCACTTCTTGCGTGAACTGTTGCGCGAACTGGAACGCGGACACGAACGGTGTTGTGAGATCAACCGAAGGGAGGAAGCTGTATACGCGACTTTTCGCCTGGCCCCGTGCCTAAATTGGGAAGCAGTTCTGAGGTCCGTGTTTGTGTTGCTTACAAGGTTCCATTGATTGCCATTTGGCTCAAGTCACCAGTGAGGTTCAAGATCTTATGTGAAGCTGCGTTCATACGTGATCGGCAATTGAGAGCGGAAAACACTTCGCTTGCGCTGCATTTGTCAGGACCACTGTTGTAACTATTATTCCTTCTCCCTTACAACAGTTACACGGGTTCGGCTATAACGGTTTGACCGTATACACCTTTCTACGTGGTTGGTATTTACAGCTGCGCCCCACGGGACGTCACCTTGCCGTCTCTTGACAGGTATCATGATCCTGAAGTTGTCCTGCTTGTAGGGAACGTACTTGATGCCGTAGACAGGAATGTTCTTGTTTGTAACCGTGTAGAGTTGTGGAACTGATTCTCCACAAGGTCGTCGCGGTAGGTCTGGTGCGTAGTCCTTCGGGCAAGCGTGTGTAGATGCTCCTGAGTCGATCAACAGGTGGTGGTATGACTTGAAGTTGGAGTACATGATGTAGTGTGCGATAGTGTCCTCAATCTTCTTGTTCCTTTGTTGTTGTCTTGCTGCTGCTATGTCGAAGTGTAGCTGTGTGGTGTCTTCTTGTAGGAATTGTTGAAAGCTCTTGCTGTGGTCGTTCCATGATGTTGTGTGTGTTGTTCTCTTGCCAAGTAGTGATTTGGATTTGTGCTTGTGTAGTCGTGAGTTTGCTTGTCTGATGTGTCCAATGGTAACTCGTTGATGCCTCCAATGTAGTTTGCTGTGTCCTCATAGCTGTTGTCATTCCAATCCCAGCTGTTGTCATAGTCGTAGTCGTTCCAGTTCTCCTCCATGTAGTTCACCTCGTGTTGTCCTTCTTCTCCTTCGTAGTACCAGTCCCAAGTGTCGTTCACATCCTGAGGTAGTTCTTCATTGTTGTCATGATCTGCTTGTTCTTGTTCTAGTGGATGTAGTTCTTCTCCTTCTCCTATGTGCCATACTGGCACTCTGCAGTCTTGTTCCCAGTGGCCAGGCTTGCCACATCGATGGGATGTTGTGTAGTTGTTGCTTCCTTTTTCTTTTGATTTGCTGTAGTTTCCCTGGCCTTTGTAGCCTTTGCTTGATCCATATCCTTTGGCTCCTGAGTAGTTTTTTCCTTTGCTCTTGTTGTATCCTCCTTTATTGTAGTTTCCTTTGCTGCCTTTGTCGAATCCTTTGTAGTGTCCTTTATAACTCCTGTACTTGCCTTTGCTTTTGCTTCCTTTGTAGTTGCCTTTTCCTTTTCCTTTGCCTTTGTAGTTTCTTCCTTTCCTCCATATGTTATCAACATCCATTGGTGCAGCTCCACCATTGTAGTTTGTTCCTACTGCTGAAGTAGAGCTAGTGAAGGCTGAAATCGTCTTGTAGTAGTCCAAGATGAGTGCTCTGATTTCGATGTAGCTCGTGATCTGTCCAGCTCGCAGTTGGAGGTGTTGCTGCAGTGCTCCTTTGGTTTTGTTGAGTAGTATTGCTATTTTGATTCCATCTGGTAGTGCTGTTCCATTGTCTTTCTCGTAGCGGTTGATGTCGTATTCCCATTGTAGAAATTGTTCTTCAAACTGCGCTTCGTTGAATGTAGGTTCCAGTAGTTTGGTAAGGTAGCCAACGCTTCTTGTTCCTACTGGTAGGCTGAACCTGTTGTGTAGTAGTCGTAGTGTTTCACATCCGTTTGCGTTATAGCGGTTTTGCCTTAATACTGAAGCTGCTGCTCCCTGACAGATGTTGATGAGGATGTAGTGTAGATCACTGGAGAGGTCTACTGCTTTGCTTGCTTGTGTAGGGTCGAGTATGTGTGTTCTGATGTCTGTGTCCTCAATCTGTCGTGTAGCCACTTGTGCTAGTTGTAGCGCCAGGTCGAAGTCTCGGTCTATGAGGCCGAGGTATGCTTGTAGCTTGAACAGCCATTCTTCATACTGGGGGTAGTCACCAGTGAAGGAGGGTGGTGGCAGTTTGTACCGATGTAGTCTCTGAACGTCGTTGTCTTGTTCTGTTCCTGCTCCCGTAGTTGTGGCTCCTACTGCTTCTGCTGTTGGCCCGTTTGCTGCTCCTGTAGTTTGTTGTGCTGAGGCTGATGCTGCTTCTTCTGACATGTCGTAGTAGTTTGGCATGTGACTGCTGTTGCTGTGGTTGTAGTACTTACTGCTTACTGGAGCTCCCCCATGTTTAGGATCTCAGCTCCGCTACCACGTTAAATTTAGTTGGTACTTTTGCTTACAAGTGCAAGTGCTGTAGTGTTCAAACAAACAGTCAACCAATGTAGCCTGCAGCTGCCAACCTTTTCACTCATGCGGAGTAGTAAGCTCAAGGCCCGCGGTAGGGAACATACATGCAACACATATGCAGGAAGTGAAGCATGTAGTTTGACATGAGAGAGAGAGAGAGAGAGAGAGAGAGAGAGGAGAGGGCGTTAGGTGATCTTCTGCGACAGTTGGAGAAGGACTACAGCGTTTGTTCGCCACTAAGAAAAAGACGAGATTCGATTCGAAGAAAGTTGAGAAATAATTCGAGAATTCGAACCACAACTTTTGACAAAATCGATCGATTCGGATTGTCTCTCAGGCCCACGGCTGGACTCCTGCGCTCAGCGACTCGGAATGCAGTTGAGAGTCGAGGAAAAAGAAAGGAAAGGCCAACAAGTACAGCTATGCAAAAAGCGAAAAGTTGCGAAACCCGAAGAATCAACAAGTGAGGGAAGTGACTCGGTGTGCGACATTCGTGTGAGTTCTCGGAGTGGTGAGCTTTCTCTTGCATTCGCATGAGCCGAATGTGACTCGAAGTGTGAGTGGAAGAGCTGAGTGTTCGATGTCATGCGAGGTTTCGGTGCTCAGAGGGCAAAGCAGTGCACGTCCCATTTCTGGGCCAGCGCAACGAGGCGCCCTTGCCAACAAAGCGATCGTCAAAGCCCTCGTTGCAGGTTCGAAGCAAAACGTCTGAATCTCAAACAAGCCAGCAAGAGCTACTAGCCCCTTCTGCCTGCAATGCTGACAGGTTGAAGCTGAGATCACGAAGCCATGATAGCAGGTGCCTCGACAGAAGCCTATGTCGCTCACTTGCGCAATCCTGCGCTTTCTTGTTCTTTTCCCTCGGTCTTGAAACGCAGCACCTTCGAGATCTCCTCCTGGTCCTTTTGATGACTTTGCTCGTACAATGGGCTCACCCTTTTTCCACTTTCTCGTTGGGTCGTTGACAGACTGGAACGCAAAGCTGAGATGACCCTCCAAAATCCACCCTGAGTTCCCCTCCACTTGCGCGCTGCCAGTGCGCTTGGGTTTAAGAGCATTCCGCCCTTTTTCGACCGAGCTGGGTTTCATTTGCTATCGTCCGATGGGATGTTCCCAAGCTGACAGGTCGCAATGAGACGGACGGGTGTTTCTTGCAGAAGGGCTTCCACAGGCCTTCCCCACCTCAGCGCCCAAACCAGCAAATGAATTAATCGCAGGAGTTGCGCTAACGCACGTTTCATTTAGCTACAGCGGCGACAACAGTTTACAAGAATTTCATCCATGTAGCCAAATCGGTTGCAGGAACACAAGTTTCATTTAGCTACAGCGGCGACAACAGTTTACAAGAATTTCATCCATGTAGCCAAACCGGTTGCAGGAACACAAGTTTCATTTAGCTACAGCGGCGACAACAGTTTACAAGAATTTCATCCATGTAGCCAAATCGGTTGCAGGAACACAAGTTTCATTTGGCTACAGCGGCTACAACAGTTTACAAGAATTTCATCCATGTAGCCAAATCGGTTGCAGGAACACAAGCTTCATTTAGCTACAGGGGCTACAACAGTTTACAAGAATTTCATCCATGTAGCCAAATCGGTTGCAGGAACACAAGTTTCATTTAGCTACAGCGGCTACAACAGTTTACAAGAATTTCATCCATGTAGCCAAATCGGTTGCAGGAACACAAGTTTCATTTAGCTACAGCGGCTACAACAGTTTACAAGAATTTCATCCATGTAGCCAAATCGGTTGCAGGAACACAAGTTTCATTTAGCTACAGCGGCGACAAGAGTTTACAAGAATTTCATCCATGTAGCCAAATCGGTTGCAGGAACACAAGTTTCATTTAGCTACAGCGGCTACAAGAGTTTACAAGAATTTCATCCATGTAGCCAAATCGGTTCCAGGAACACACGTTTCATGTATCTACAGCGGCTACAAGAGTTTACAAGAATTTCATCCATGTAGCCAAATCGGTTGCAGGAACACACGTTTCATTTAGCTACAGCGGCTACAAGAGTTTACGAGTGTTTCATCCATGTAGCCAAATCGGTTGCAGGAACACACGTTTCATTTAGCTACAGCGGCGACAACAGTTTACAAAAAATTCATCCGTGTAGCCAAATCGGTCGCAGGAACACAGGTTTCATTTGGCTACAGCGGCGACAACAGTGTACGAGTGTTTCATCCATGTAGCCAAATCGGTTGCAGGAACACAGGTTTCATTTAGCTACAGCGGCGACAAGAGTTTACGAGTGTTTCATCCATGTAGCCAAATCGGTTGCAGGAACACAGGTTTCATTTAGCTACAGCGGCGACAACAGTTTACAAGAATTTCAGATTCATCCATGTAGCCAATCCGGTTGCAGGAACACAGGTTTCATTTAGCTACAGCGGCGACAACAGTGTACGAGTGTTTCATCCATGTAGCCAAATCGGTTGCAGGAACGCAGGTTTCATTTAGCTACGGCCGCTACAAGAGTTTACGAGTGTTTCACCCATGTAGCCAAATCGGTTGCAGGAGCACAGATTTCATTTAGCTACAGCGGCGACAAGAGTTTACAATAATTTTATGCATGTAGCCAAATCGGTTGCAGGAACACTTCATTTAGCTACAGCGGCGACAAGAGTTTACGAGTGTTTCATCCATGTAGCCAAATCGGTTGCAGGAACACAGGTTTCATTTAGCTACAGCGGCGACAAGAGTTTACAAGAATTTCATCCATGTAGCCAAATCGGTCGCAGGAACACAGGTTTCATTTAGCTACAGCGGCTACAAGAGTTTACGAGTGTTTCATCCATGTAGCCAAATCGGTTGCAGGAACACAGGTTTCATTCAGCTACAGCGGCGACAAGAGTTTTCAACTATTTTATGCATGTAGCCAAATCGGTTGCAGGAACACAGGTTTCATTTAGCTACAGTGGCTACAAGAGTTTACGAGTGTTTCATCCATGTAGCCAATCCGGTTGCGGGAGCACAGGTTACATTTAGCTACAGCGGCGACAAGAGTTTACAATAATTTCATCCATGTAGCCAAATTGCAGGAACACAGGTTTCATTTATCTGCAGCGGCTACAAGAGTTTACGAGTGTTTCATCCATGTAGCCAAATCGGTTGCAGGAACACACGTTTTATTTAGCTACAGCGGCGACAACAGTTTACAAGAATTTCATCCATGTAGCCAACTCGGTCGCAGGAACACAGGTTTCATTTAGCTACAGCGGCGACAAGAGTTTACAAGAATTTCATCCATGTAGCCAAATCGGTTTCAGGAACACACGTTCCATTTAGCTACAGCGGCGGCAAGAGTTTACAAGAATTTCATCCGTGAAGCCAAATCGGTTGCAGGAACACACGTTTCATTTAGCTACAGCGGCTACAAGAGTTTAAAATAATTTCATCCATGTGGCCAATCTGTTGCAGGAGCACAGGTTTCATTTAGCTACAGCGGCGACAAGAGTTTTCAAGAATTGCATCCATGTAGCCAAATCGGTTGCAGGAACACACGTTTCATTTAGCTACAGCGGCTACAAGAGTTTACGAGTGTTTCATCCATGTAGCCAAATCGGTTGCAGGAACACAGGTTTCATTTAGCTACAGCGGCGACAAGAGTTTACGAGTGTTTCATCCATGTAGCCAAATCGGTTGCAGGAACACAGGTTTCATTTAGCTACAGCGGCGACAACAGTTTACAAGAATTTCAGATTCATCCATGTAGCCAATCCGGTTGCAGGAACACAGGTTTTATTTAGCTACAGCGGCGACAAGAGTTTACAAGAATTTCATCCATGTAGCCAAATCGGTTGCAGGAACACACGTTTCATTTAAATAGCTACAGCGGCGACAAGAGTTTACAATAATTTCATCCATGTAGCCAAATCGGTTGCAGGAACACAAGTTTCATTTAGCTACAGGGGCTACAACAGTTTACAAGAATTTCATCCATGTAGCCAAATCGGTTGCAGGAACACAAGTTTCATTTAGCTACAGCGGCTACAACAGTTTACAAGAATTTCATCCATGTAGCCAAATCGGTTGCAGGAACACAAGTTTCATTTAGCTACAGCGGCGACAAGAGTTTACAAGAATTTCATCCATGTAGCCAAATCGGTTGCAGGAACACACGTTTCATTTAAATAGCTACAGCGGCGACAAGAGTTTACAATAATTTCATCCATGTAGCCAAATCGGTTGCAGGAACACACGATCAATTTAAATAGCTCAGCGCGACAAGAGTTTTACCAGAATTTTCAACTCCAGTAGCCAAATCGGTTGCAGGCGCAGATGACACAAGGGCAAGGATGACACGCAGAAACCATTGTGCGGCCCGTTTTTTGGAACAGTTCATAGAAAGTTGCTCAAACAACGCAGCCGCTTTGACACAAGGCGCATTGAAAGCATGCGCCCAGACCAGTCTGCAATTCACAGGTTATGAGCCCAAGTCACGTTAGGTGACTGCGACCGCGCAGCTGTGGCCACTGGATCGGGGAGATCCAGGAGAATAAGAACGTTGGAGGCCAACGACGTCATGGGCAAAGGGAACCAGCCCGGTGGTGGAAGAGGAGACGGAAACCATGGTCGCCAGGCCGGACGGAGTGGTGGAGGCAGGAGCTTCGACCCAATGGCCTGGAGGGCCGCAGGAGAGCCGCTGCCACTTGAGCCGGCGCCTGCAGCGCTGTTCACGCCCGAGCAGATGAAACGGCTCGATGAGTGGACGGAGGAGGCGCCGCCGATCAACTCAATTGGAGCAGGAGGAAGCCGAGAGAGGTTTGAGACCTTCATCGAGCGGTCCAACGAGGATTTGCTGGAAGAGAGGGAGTTGGTGCTGGCAGCGCAGCAACTTGCTTGCTGAGGACACGCAGAAGGCCCTCGGCTTGCTCAATGGCAAGAACAAAGGCTGCCACAGCCTGCTCTACCTGGGCCAGGAGGACTTGATGGAGGCCCTCGATGTGCTCAGTGGCCAGATCCAACGCAGGAGATGCGCTACTACATGATGCAGTTGATGGCTGCAGAAAGAGGTGGCGCGCTGTGTGAAGAAGGTAGCAGATATGCAGCTGAAGTGGCAACTGCCTGATCAAGGAGCTGCGCGAGGAGGTGATCAGAGTGAGGTTCGCAACTCCGGAGGAACATGGAACCCCAGAAGGCCATGGAGCGCAAGGAGAACCAGCTGATCAAGAAGATGAGTCTTCCAAGATGAGGGAGGATGTGCCTGGTGGAGAAAAGGGGCAGTCGCTGGACATCATGCTGAAGATCGTCCAAGGGATGCAGATCATGCAGGAGGGATGCTCAACAAGACGGTGGGGTCAAGGGCCACAGCGAGGTGGTGAAGAACGCCGAAGCTGGTGGAGTACAGAGCGGACCCATCATGGTGGACCTCATCAGTGGCGGCACAAGGCGGTGGAGATGGCAAAGGCATGGTACGCGAAGTACCAAGCTTGGTGGAGGTTGGAACGGAGAGCTGTGGGGCTGATTCTACAAGGAGCCAACGAAGTCCATGACATGCTATGCCATCCTCTGCAAGCTCATCGCGGGAGGTTTGGTGGAGACGGGGTGATCCTGCATCCTGCAGAACTTGGAGAACCCCCCGGAGGTTGGCTCGCTGGCGTCCTTGGTGGTTGGCTTGAGGAAGTGGATGAGGTGGAAACAGCGAGCGCAGGAGCTTCCCGGATCCGACGGTGTTGGCACGGTCCCTCAACAAGATGATCAAGAAGGTGCTGGAGTTGCAGCCGGAGCTCGCCTTCGGGATGGCCTTGGCAAGGAACGCGCTGCGGCTGGATTCCATCCCCTTGCACGAG